TACCAAGAGATCCTCGGGATACCAAGAGATCCCCAGTACATATATTAAATTACTAAGAGATCCTCGGGATACCAAGAGATCCCCAGCACGTATATTGAGGATACCAAAAGATCCTCGAGATACCAAGAGATCCCCAGTACATATATTGAGGATGCCAAGAGATCCTCGGGATACCAAGAGATTCCCAGCACGTATATTGAGGATACCAAGAGATTCTCGGGATACAAAGAGATCCCCAGCACACATATTGAGGATACTAAGAGATCTTCGGGATACTGAGAGATCCCCGGTTGTTATCTTTGCGTTGAGCTGTATTTATTTCCGTGATTACTTTGTTCCTGTTAAAGTTGATGTTGTTCTTCTATCCTATGTTACTTTTTATTGTTGCACTTAAGTATATTGTCTTACTCTACACTGTTATATCTTGTATTCCCTTTAACCTTAGTAGGGCCCTGACCTTCCTCGTCACTACCCGACCGAGGTTAGGCTTCGCACTTACTGAGTACCGCTGTGGTGTACTCATGCCCTTCCTGCGCATGTTTTTCATGTGCAGATCCAGGTACTCCCACTCAGACTTATCACACTTGAGGCGAGGCGTTTTGTAGAGACTCCGAGGTATATCTGCCGCGTCCGCAAACCGAAGAGTCCCTTTCTATTCTCAGTACTAGTATAGCCCTTTCTGTATTATCCCTTGTTGGTAGACATTCTAGAGTTAGAGCTTATTATGTAATATTTTCGCTTATGATTCATGGGGTTCCGGATTTTAGGAGTGTTAGATTGAGATTCTTAGACTGATGTATGCCAGGCGGCATCTTAAACACTGTTTAACCTTGTTATCTCGGTTTTTAATTGCTTTCTTCTGCAATTTTCTCTTTTTCCGCATTTGTTAGGCTTACCTAGTCGTAGAGACTAGGTGCCGTCACGATAGTTCACGGAAGGAAAATTGGGGTCGTTACATATAGTCTTAAACATGCAAATGTAATTATAAAAAATGCAATTAAAATATCTGAACACTCATATGAACATAAATGATGAATTTAGATGATTAAATCATCATAAAATAATATGAGGGATAATTTTGAATATTTATGTAATTAAAAAAAATGCAGAAATAAATGGATTTAGGCCCTTTAAAAATTTGTAGAAAATTTGTAAAACACGTTTGCATGTTTGTAGTTGTATGCACAATATTTTGAAAGTATGCATGCGCATTTTAAAAATATATGAGGGAAAAATTGGGTATCAACACTCCTGCGGTCTCGCACCTGCATCTGTTCAACCGCATGTGCGGTTATGACAGCAAAATGTAGCTTCAGCTCTCTTTCAAGTTTTCTAACTCAACTCGAGCCTCATCCGATCGACGCTCGGGGCCCCCGGGGCCCCGCCCGAACATACCGACAAGTTTGAAATCATAAAACGGACTCGCTCGGACCCTCGGAACGCCCGAAACAACGCTAAATCTACGAATCACCCCCTAAAACCAATTGGATCAAACTTATGAACTTCAAGTTCTTCAACTCACATCCCATGCGACGAAACACACTTATACTACTCGGATTGACACCAAATTTTGCGTGCAAGTCTTAAATGACAATACGAAACTATCCCGGTCTTAGAATTTCATTCGGACATCGATAACACAAAAACTCGCTCCAAACCAAATATATAAGAACTTAGAAATCCTTAAGGAATCAACTTTCACTATTAGGCGCCAAAACGCTCCCGGGTCATCCAAAACCCGATCCGGGCATACTCCCAAGTCCGAATCATCATAAAAACCTGTTGGAACCTTCAAATCCAGATTTCGAGGTCGTTTGCTCAAAATGTTGACCAAAGTCAAACTTGGCCTTTTAAGCCAACCTTAAGGAACTAAGTGTTCTGATTTCAACTCAAACTCTTCCAAATCCCGAACCAACCATCCCCGCAAGTCATAAATCAGTAAAAGCAAGTACGGGAAGTCTTATTTAGGGAAACGGGGTTCTAGAAAGCAAAACGACCAGTCGGGTCGTTACAAAATGTAAACGAAACAAAAGTTAATCCGAGCCCATTGAATTCACAGTGTTTTCTTAAGGAATTTAATCCCCTCCTAGTACCCAAGGTTATGGATTATTTCCTCCTAGGATAGAACGAATTACACACCGGTGTAGTGGTACTTCAAACTCCAGTGTTTCAACGAACACAAAGTTCGGTAGCAAATCACACTTACTGTTGTTTTCTTTGATGTTAAGAGTATGCAGAAGAAAGGAGGAGAACTCAGAAAATCGTATGGAAAATCTGAGAGAATGGACTTGTATTTATAGCCAATGTTGGGCTGAAAACTGAAGAGGTGCAACTCTTCAGAATGGTTGTTTATGCAAAACGGCCATAGCATAAATGCCATCACATAAATGGCTAATATATGCAATAATAAACTGGGAATTGAAGAGGGAAGTTTAATTTTCAGTTACACAACTGGAAAACTGAAAACGGTTCCGTTAGATTTTAATTAATAACATTTCTGTTAATATTTACTATTAACAAATAAATTTGGTCCAAAAAATTAGTCAATCAATCGATCATTTGGCCAAATCCAAATCCAAATGCGAAGCCGAAGCCGAGCGAGCGACGACGGCGACGGCGCGAGGCTTGACTTTTTCTCAACTCTTTAAGAGCTAGAAGAAGAGCAATTGCTTATATACCCATCAAAAACCTCTTCCTCTTCCAATATGAGACAATGTCCCTTTGTCAAGGGGGGGGAGGGGGGAAAACTTAAAATTTCACTCAAAAAATTCCATTTCCCATTCACCCTCTTTTAAGCCATATTAATGCTTAAAAACCCAACAGCTAAAACTTTGAATCTGCTCTATTATGCTTTTTGACTCAACTACGATTGGTGTTGTAGTTTAATAATATTGTTAAGAAATTGTTCAGTAAAAGCATAGTAGAGCAACCGTAGAGATGGAAACAATGATAAATTTTGGCGACAATGCATTTAAAACTGTTGTCATATTGTAGCGTATCTTTTTTTCTTTTTTGTAACTGAAATATAGGTAATACACAACTAAAAGGAGTCTTTTTAAACATAAGATAAGTTATTATATATCAATAGTATTCTCTTCTAATGCACTTAATATCTGTAAAAAATACAGCCAATGGGAGTTGTAAATGGGAGCGGCTACATATTTAACTTGAAGATACTTATGAAGTCCTTCCGTTCCCAAATCCCTTTCAAAGCCGTTGCTTTTGTATCCTCCATATGGACAATCCGGATCGAAAGCAAAGTAACAATTTATCTAGATAACTCCAGCTCAAATCGATCTTGAAACTATTTTGGAAATGTTGAAGTCATTTGTCATGGAAGGAGTCTTATTAAAAGAGGAATCGAGAGAAAATAGAAAAAAGATGTAACTAAATCCCTTAATTTAAGGCACTAATAATAGATTGTATATAATTTGTAACTAATCCTTGTTTAGGGCGGGTAATATACAAAATTAGGAAAATTTTAGTAAATAAATTTCAAATATTGTATAGGAATGAAAAAATCCCTTCAAACAATACACTTAGAAAAATTGGCATCCTATAACAGCACATAACAGAAAGACAATTTTTTAGCCTTATATTAGGTTTGGCAAAGATAGTCCCAAACAATTGGCATTATATAGCCAAATCTTAAAAAAACTACTCTCTTTTATATTCTCTCTAAAAAAAACTACACTCTTTTGCTCTTATAGTTTAGCAAAAATTCTTGCAAATTATGCAAAAAAAATCAGTGGAATGAAAAGGTAAGGTTGATCTCACATTAGAGAAAATCAGAAACAAAACTAAGAGAGAAAAAATATATATCAACTTTGTTTTTCTACTCTCTTTTTTTTCGTTGTTGGATTGAATGAGTGGGTGTGATTGAAAATGGTTGAAAATACCTAAACGAGGCTATATACAAATTTGAGCAAGATTAGAAGTGATTTAGACTGGTTTCAGGTATAAAATTAGACCTAAAAATCCAACTACGACATGTGTATATCACGTTGTATATCGTGTACATCAGTGTATATCACACACAAGTTTTTAAGGACATCTGTGTATATCACTTTGTATATCGTGTATACAACACATTTTTTTATGGACACCCATGTATATCACATTGTATATCGTATATATGACACAAATTTTCATGGATATACGCATATACACATAATATACATGAGATATCACTGATGTACATAGAGATATACACGGGTTACAATAGAGGGTACACATGTGGAGTCGTCTTGAACTTGAGTTTTCAATCTGAAATATGTTATACAAAGAAGGAAAATAAAATTTTAATAAATATTTTTGATATAAACATTATAATTATGTTATACACTATGATATACAAGTAATATAATTATTAGTTATTGATCAAAAAAGGAAAATAAATTTTTGATATAGCATGTTTAACCAAGTTCTAAAATATAAAAATAAAAAATATAATTGTGGGAGTAAATAATATTTTGGTATACAAAGAAAATTAATTTCTGATATACACAAAGAAGAAAAATAAACTTATGAAATCTATTTTGGTATACACATGTCCGTTGTGCTATACACTGTGATATACAATAATATAATATTTCTATTGTGACATACATTGGTATAAAGACAGCAATAACTATATATATAATTTTATATTATTGATATACAAAGAATGAAAATAAAATTTTAATATACATGTTGATATAGACAAAGAAGAAAAAAAAGATTGTGATATACATATTATTATTGTGATATACATTTATTTGCTATTTGATGCCAATATCTACAACTAGGGCTATTTTCGCCAATTTTATGGATATGTTATTATACCATGCCAAAACCCCATACACTTATATACCTTAAAGAGGATTCTGAACTTTTTTCGGTTGCAACAATGTGCGGACAAGCCCAACTTCTTTACTGGACTAGTTGGGTTGGCCCATCTGACTTTACTGAGCAATTCCAATGTTAACATTTTAGTCAATAGACATTGTCACTCAAGATTTTGCTGCGCTGTGCACGTCAAAACCTTCAAAACTCCGTTAGCTTTGCCGGGAAAATCATCCCCGACGACATCTCCGGCGGATTTCCGGATGTGTGCTACTTTGCGCCGCATGCGCATCAATTACAAGGTGGGTCATTTTCCCCTGTTTCCAACATCCTTGCACACTTCACAACTGCTATTTTTACACTTCTTCACTCCACCACACAAAGTCCTAAACCCTAAAGTTACCAGCTTTTCTACTGAAAGCTCATATTGCAGTTCAAATTCATTAGATTCTGAAAAAGGATTTGATTTTCTTGAACAGTTTTCTCCTTTTAAGAATTTAGCAAACTCTTCTACTTACACTGTCATTACCTCAAATGAGAGGCGTAAAATTGTTGTGGGGTTATCAAGAATGATAAAAAATGAAAAAGGTTACATTTTGGAAGCATTTTCAAGAGATTTTTGCCCATCTTTTTTGGTAAAAATTATGAAGTTGATTGGTAATAGGGAAGTTGCATTTGCATTCTTTAAGTTTGTTTTTCAAGATTATTCGGAGAGTACAGTGAAGTCATGTTGTATTAGTGCGCATTTATTGGCTGCTGGACAGTTGAGGCTATTGGCACAGGATATAATATCTTGGATCATTAGGAGGATTGGAAAATGTAGGAGTGATGAGATTGTGGAGTTCATGTGGAGGGAGCATTATAAGTATGAGTGTGACTTTTCGGTTCTTGATTCATTAATGCGGGCTTTTTTAACCGCAGAAATGGTTTCGGCTGCATTAGAGATTTTGAGTAAGATGAGAGACAGCGGGTTGTGGCCGAGTTCATCAGCTGTCGGCATCCTATTTAAGTTGTTGCTTAGGATTGGTGATTATGGTAGTGTCTGGAAGTTATTTCGGGATATCTTGCATAAAGGGCCTCGTCCTACTAACAATCTCTTTAATGTAATGATTCTTGGATATTGTAGAAAAGGCAGTCTTCCAACGGGAGAGAGTTTATGTCATCTCATGAGGAAGTTTGGATGTGAGCCAGATGTTTTTACATATAATATTTTGATCAATGCATACTGTATTAGAGGATGGACTTCAGATGCATTGCACTGGGTGCATATGATGATTGATCATGGATGTAATCCAAGTATCTCTACCTTTAGTACGGTAATTAATGCCCTATGCAAAGAAGGCAACATGACGGAAGCCAGAAAAGTGTTTGATGGAATGCAAGAGGTGGGTGTCTTTCCTAGCACCATCACATATAATGCGTTGATGGATGGCTATGTTAAAGCACGGGAAATGTATCAAGCAAATATGCTATATGAAGAAATGAAAAAGAAGGGTGTAGTTCCAGATGCTATAACTCTTAACATTTTGGTGGCAGGTCACTATAAGTATGGTAGGGAAGAGGATGGCGACCGATTATTATGGGATCTAACAGTGACAGGACTTTTTCCAGATTGTTTATTCTCTGATGTATCAATCGCAGGATTGTGTTGGGCAGGAAGGTTGAACGAGGCTGTAACATTGTTGGATAATATGCTTGAGAAGGGGATACCTGTTAGTGTAATAGCTTTTAATTCAATTATTGCTGCTTACAGCAAAGAAGGGTTAGAAGAAAAAGCATTTGAAGTCTATAATGTTATGGTTCAGTTTGGTCAGACTCCTTCAGCTTCCACGTGTGCTTCCCTTCTCATGGGTTTGGCAACGACAGGGAGGCTGCAAGAAGCGAGAAATTTAATGGCTAAGATGATTGCAATGTCCTTCCCTGTTAACAGAACTGCTTTCACTGTGCTTCTGGATGGGTATTTTAAGAAAGGGGATGTAATAGGAGCTAGAATATTGTGGGAAGAAATGGAAATGATGGGAATCGCTCCTGATTCTGTTGCTTTTTCTGCATTGATAGATGGGCTTGCTAAAGCAGGATCTGTTGAAGATGCGTATGATGCCTTTTTCCAGATGACTAGGAAAGGGCTTGTGCCAAATAATTTTGTTTATAATTCGCTAATTACTGGTTTTTGTAATAGCGGAAAACTGAATGAAGCTCAGAAACTAGAGAGGGACATGAGGGATAGGGGTCTTCTCCCGGATGTCTTTACAATTAATACCATCATCAATGGTTTCTGCAAACAGGGAAGAATGAGATTAGCTGTTGACAGTTTTGTGGAAATGCAACAAAGTGGTATACAACCTGATATTGTTACATATAACACCTTGATCAACGGATTCTGCAAAGCATTTGACATGGTCAATGCGGATAACTTTATGACAAGAATGTATGCCAGTGGATGGGAACCTGATATCACAACCTACAATATAAAGCTTCATGGTTTCTGTAGTAGTAGGAGGATAAATCGAGCAGTTATGATGTTGGACGAGCTTGTATCTGCTGGAGTGGTGCCAAATACCGTCACATACAACACTATGATGAATAGTGCTTGCAATGACATATTGGACCGTGCAATGATTTTGGCTGCAAAGTTGCTTAAGATGGCATTTATCCCAAACACCGTTACAGCTAACTTGCTACTTTCTCACCTATGGAAGCAGGGACTACCTCAGCGGACGTTGATGTGGGGGCAAAAGTTGAGCGAAATCGGTTTTGAGTTTGATGAAATAACATATAAAATTTTGGACAATGCTTCTCATTATGTACAAGAAAACACAGAATATTGTACAGAAACAACAGGAAAGAGTCTCTTTCTAGACTTCCTCATGTACATTACCTATGACTACATACGTAGAAGTAAGGCTTATAGTGATAAAAATGACAGCTCTTACGAACTAGTTGAGGATGGTCCTTGTGTGTCCTTCAAGTTAATCAACAAGGCGTATAGCCAATTTGATGAAAGAGCAAGAAACTAAATGGTTACCAGCATAGAAATTTTTCTGGATGAATTTACAAAAGGTGAAGGGGAGTAAAGTTGTCTCCGTGTGACCTATAGGTCACGGGTTGGAGCCGTGGAATCAGCCATTGATGCAGGGTAGGCTGCTTACATCACACCCCCTTGGGTTGTGGCCCTTCCCCTGACCCTGCGTGGATGCGGGATGCTTCGTGCACCGGGCTGCCCTTTTTTAATTTACGAAAGGTAAACAAACTTGGAAAGGACAACAGAAGAACCTACTGAAAGAACCTATGTGGCTTCAGTAAGCTTCTCAAATGCTAAAGAAGCTTGATCATTTAGAACTGATGATGCTTCCCAACACTGGAATCGGATACCGCATCACGAAGCTGCAGTTTCTATGGCAATTTGCAAGAATTGTGAATATACTTCTTACTTGGTATAGTTCGCTTTTTTGAGTTTTAATATTATTTTCATGTGTACTTTCTAAAGACTTTTGTTCTTCGTCTTTAGTTTTGAATCAACTTTGGAGACCTTTCTTGAATTTGAACTTCTTTGTTGTTGAAGAACGTCTTTCTCCTGTTGAAATCATCAAATTGTTCTGGACTTGATAAGCTCGTATGTTGTTTCTCTTGTTGAATGAAAATATATTGATGCTGGAATCTGGATTGGTTTTATGAGATGGCTTGTAAGATTTGTGAGATGAGATTTGTTTTCTTAATTCTCAAACAAAGAGGGTTTGGAATCAACTACTTTGCTTTGTGTGTCATTGTTAATCTAGAAAAATTCTTCCAAAAATCGACATCCAACCTTCTGGCTTCCATGATATCTGCCTCCTACTTTTGCCAGTATTGCCTTCTGAACTGCAATGAGCCCTGAATACTGTGCCTCTCCTGCAGTTTACTTTCGTTTCTTCACTTCCTGAAGTCCTGCTTTTCATTCAGAAATTTTACTCTCACCAAAAAGCCAAGTTACCAGTGACAACAATCTTGCTTGTTTATACCCAATTTCAATTGATTTAGAACATCCTTAGTTTCCAGACTACTTTTCTCAGTGCAACATTTTCATCATTAGCTCGATGATGATTCTGAAGCTATTTAAAGTTTATATCAAACTTTTACATTTTTAAGCTTGTTCACTCACAGTTCTGTTGTCACATTTTCTTGTGAATAATGAGGATATGGAAAGTCTGATACGAGTGTGAATTCCTTTTCTTGCTTATAATAATTATGCTATAGTTTATCCATTTGGTCGTCCCTTCTCAAAAATTCTATCCACTTGGTTTCAAACAAATTTATCCACTCTGGTCGTCTCAAATCTGATTCATTTTTTATCCTAAAAGAGAAAAGATGTTAAACCTGATTTTCTGGTTTTTCTTGCAGTTTGGAGTATCAAACTGGGGCTAGCGGACAGCTTGACAAAGATGCTGTTACGACTCCTCTATCACCCCTCTGTGCACCTGTTGGAGAAGAGACTTAGATGCTGCTCCATGTCCGGTATTTGAATGATGTTTCCTTGAGTTGATAATGAAGGTAATGGAAAGATAAATTATTCCTATAGCTGGGGAGGATGTGCCTAAAGATTTGATCCTGAAAAGAACTGCTATGGTGAATGATAAAAGATCAAGTGCTCGATTATGGGAAACATCGTGACAAAGTTTTTTTTTTCTAGCTGCTGATTTGAAGTTCCACAGATCTGGCCCCAGTAGAGCGAAATAGATGATGAGGATTCGTAAGTCGACCCCAACGAGCTAGACCTTTGTTGTTGCTGTTGTTGATTTTTCGCAAACCCACCAACGCTGATGGATCTGGTAAGTTTATTTTGTGAACATATCTTCATCTAGTATAATTGTGTATGCAACTTTCATATGAAGTTCTCTGTCTTTGCAAACAAATACAGGTCAAACGTTGTGTTTTCCTACTCTGAACAATGATTTACTCTGAGACTAGAACGCCATCCTTGCATTATACTAGCAACTAATTTCCTTTTTCCCCCTTTTCCCTTGAAGTGGAGAATGGATGCACTATGTTGATGAACTGAATTTTCACATTTCAGGATGTACAGAGGGCTTTGTCCAAAGTAGTGGTGATCAGTGCCATATGGTCCTTTGACCTGGAGACTGTTGGAATGGCTGCACAAGGTTCTCTTGCTATATAAATATAGTATTATGGCTATGCTGAAAATAAGGACATGTTCTGTATTTTTGGAAAGAAAGCTTATAGCCTACTAGTATCAATGGGAGTCTCCACACAAAAATTGTGTAATTTGATCCCCACTGAATATTTAAGTCATTTTCCTTCCTCTTTTTATAAACTTCTTTTCTTTTCTTTTTTCCCCATCATTTTTCCTTCAGCTGGTCTTAATTCTTCAGGGATGCGGTTAGTCATTCATTTATGTATTTATTTTGGTTATACATGTACCAAACTTATGTTCTTCCGATCCTCTGGCAAACAATAAAAAAGAAATTAACTTTCATTAGTGCGTTCAATGCTGTAACTAGTCAACGTCTCCTATGGTTGGCAGGTCCATATTGAAACTATTCGTCAACGATTCCATAAAACATGGTTGAATAAGTACAATCTAATCAAACTCGCTATTATTTCTTTGTCTAACTTGACTCAAGTTTTCTCTTTTTCTTTCCTCCCCACCTTCCCAAAGGCGCATCTAAAATTTTTATAATATGGGTGCACTCCTAAAGAAAAGAGGAAAAAAGAAATATTAAGTGAACATTGATCATTAAAACTCACCTTTTTGCATTCAATCAAGTGTACCATTTAGCGTCTTTGAAGCTTGTATGCCAACAGATAGTATTAGATCAATCCAGAAAATGTGTACATAAAATACCTAATTTGATGGAGAGATCATGGGTTCACGTGCCCCATATTGACCTTCCCTCTTTTTGTTCTTGTATGGGTCGAAATCTGACCACTCGAGAATCGGCACAAAAAGGAATGGCGAGAGGTCGATTAAGCCATGGTTGTATCCATAAGGCACCATAACGACGAGCATCTCGGCCACGGCCGAGGTCGAACCATCAGAAAGCCTGTATGGCGAAGTACACGCCATGGCACTTAGGGAGGCCGACCTGAAGTGCAATTAGCAAATTAGGATATCCTGGCCAAGGATCGTTGGGTAAGGGGGAATACCTATTTTATATATACTAGGTAAGAGAATACGAAAGGGGGATTTTTTTCTTCCTCTCTGAACACTGAAGAACGGGAGAATCTTTCTCAAGAAAATCAAGAGAAGGTTTAGAACTTGGTTGCTGATCTTTGTAATCATCATTATGGGATCACTAAAGATAGATCTCGTAGCCGTTAATGGTGCATCTTCTTTCTCTTCTTTATTTTACATTACGGAGTAATAGCATCAAGAATGTAAGCCCGTCACATATATTTGATATCTTTTATAATCTCAAATAGCTCATGAGCTTAACCATATCCTATTTTTCCTACTTAATATTCTTGGATCTAGAGTTAATTATCCTTGACTAGGATTTATCCCCTATTTTCTTATTAATCTGTTTTAAGAAAAGGTTTAACACTTTTTTGGTAAAACAGTTCTTTGCTTCGTGTTCTTTGGGCAGGAGAGTATTGTGCGAAAGAAACAAAAATATATTCATAAAAAAAGAACCTTAAGTAATTTCTTCCATTTGCTTAAGCCTCGGCGGATAAAGTTACTTGATATTTGTGTTGTGGAGGTAATATGTACCCAGTAGAATAAAGCTGGTGTGAATACTTGAGTAAATTACATAATAGCTAACAAAAGATGCACAAGAGAATAGTGGCCTACAATATTTTTTCCTGGCAAGTCAGAATAGTGACCTACAATGCAAATGCATAATCTGGTGGCATGCAAAAAACTCCAGGCTACTGATTGGTGCCTCTAGTCATTGCTACTAATGAGTTGAAATTGCATTGCTTCATTTACTTGTTAAACTGGTTACTATGTTCTCTCATTCAATAAACCAGAATTCTTAACAACTTGATATCTGATATGCAGGAGGGGAAAAAAACTGTTTTATATAACTTTACCCTTCTGCATGATCATAAATCTTCTTCTGCTTATTCCACCAACATGTTCACTAAGTTTAGCCAAGTGAGCCATTCGCCTTTTCGTTGATTCTGAGGCTCCCGTCTGCTTTGGGTTTTCCTCTACAACAGGTTCATCTTCGACGCTCTGGAAACTTGTATCTGTGGAGCTATTTTCACCAGAAATCTGAATGATCTGCTTCAGAGTTTCTACTACCTGACTCATCTTCGGTCGATCTTTTGCAGATTTTAACAAACAAGTGTCAGCTAACTTTGCAATCTTTCGAGCTGCATTGAGCGAATACTGATTTTCCAGCCTTGGATCAATGATCATACCAAATTTCCGGCTATCAGCAGGGTAACGTTTAACCCACTCCAGAAGTTTATGTTCTGATTTCGGTCTGTTCCTTTCTAGGGACCGTCGACCGGTTAGGATCTCATACAATACAACACCAAAACTCCACACATCACTCTTAGCTGTGAGGTGTCCTGTTTCTATGTAATCAGGTGCTGCATATCCCCATGTTCCAACAACCTGGTTACAAAAGCGTGTTATTTATGATCATTTGCCACTGAGATATCTAGGTATATTACCATAAGTAACTACTTCATTTTACACTGAAAATAAGAAAGAAAACCACTTGTGCTTTCTTTCTCATAAATGGTGTAAAACCTACAAATTTGAGCAGATCAATGTAACATACCGCTGTAGAGACGTGCGTGTGCATGCCAGTTGGGCCCTCTCTGGCAAGCCCGAAATCTGAAAGCTTTGGCATGAAGTCATTATCCAAAAGCACATTTGATGACTTGAAATCGCGATATATCACCTGTAAAATTCACAGAAAATGAACATGAAATTTGGATTTATATACAATTGCTATAAAGCAACAGAGCAATGAATCAGTATTTCCAAGCCTTCTGGTGGCTGATAAACAGAGACTCTACTGTTAAAAATCCTTTTAAACTGGAAAAAATAGGAAACAGATATGGAAAAACTCTCCAATAAGAAACATTTTTTATGTCATAAGGCTGAAACCATTTCAATGAACCTTCACATTCAGCAGAAAACTTTGCTCTACAGTAAATGTTTTAAGGACATCAGATGGAAAAAACTTAGAAGCAAAGCTATGAAGGTTCAGCATTCGGATTAAACTCTTTTAAGAACTCTGATCGCTCAAAATGTGCTTCCAGAAGTGACATCCATCCAATCCAAA